ATGAACAGCCCCCCACAAAAATAAGGAAGTTGGAGGAGAATTGACACTGTAAAGCCTTTTAAAGGCTCCTTCCCAACTCAGGCAGACATTTTATCAGTTACATCTAAATTGCAACTGGAAGATTTTCTTTAAACCATGCATGCATGGGTTAAAAGGTTTGGAGGGGTTTTCCGACAAAGGAAAAATCTTCAAGTCTGCAAAATCTGAGCACTGTTTATAGGCCACATAAATGCATCAAGTGAGCAGGGCTAAGTACAGATATTTGGGGGCATTCAGGGGAGGTTAAATTGATTCAAAATGGCTGCCCAATATCAGGTAAGTCAGGATTTGCGGGGGAAGGGGGAAGCATAGCTGGGAGGTTGGGGGTCTAGCAGGCTGGAAGGGATAGGAGGTCCTGCTGGGGGATGGGGAGAAGGTGAAACCCACAAGGGGTAGGGGGAACGGGCACAACCCACGGATGGGGTGGGGGGTGCGGGTGCGACCCAAGAAGGGTAGGGGAAGCAGGCATAACCCACAGGTCAGGTGGGGAAATGGGGTGGGCCCTCTCCAGCAAACCTCCCGCCCCTTCCCCCACTGGGACTTGCTTGGTTGGCTCAGGCTGCAGTGAATGCTGATAAAAGTGGCTGTACCCAGAGCAGGTTGTGGAATGGGACTTGAGAGGGCTGGCTGGGAGGTGGGGGGAGCAAGGGGCCAGGGACACAAAACATAGACCAGTACAAGGGAAGGGAGGAGTGAAAAGAGCAGACCTGGGGCTGGGGCCAATGCTGGGTTTTCCCAGCCCCAGGGAAGTGCAGGGGAAGTGGAAAGAAGTTCCATGAACTTGTTTGACCTAAACTGAATGAGTCTGATACTACATAGATCCAGGTTTATCTTAAACTGGTTTTTGCAATTTTTAGACCAGTTTGTGTGCATGGAACTTCTGTTGTTACAGGTTTAGACTGATTGCCGGTTACTGAGACCGGGTCTGTAAGTGTAAGGCCAGCACCAGGATGAGCTAAGTTTAAATCAGGCAGCCATTTTGAACCCAATTTAACAAACCAAATGTCTGCCCAGAAGGCAATCAGGGACTTACTTTGTCACATTACTCCTGAAGAACAGGTGTGGGAGCCAAAAGTTACTGGTTCTACTCTTAAATCATTGTAAAACTTGGAATCAAATTTTCCAAAGTAGCTTCCAACTGTGGGGGGTCCATCTTGAGATAAACAGGCCCTGATTTTCTGAAGTGCTAAGCATTTACAGCTACTGCTGAATTCAAGTGGAGCTGTAGATGCTTAGCACCTCTGAAAATTAGGTCAGGCAGCAGGTGGGTTTTGTCCCCCTTGGTCTTTACCCCATCTCAGTGTCTACAGATATGAAATACAGTGTTATAGAAGTCAAATACTTGGTAGTTTCAACTCAAAAGACCTCACTAATGAGGACCACATGCCCTGCAGAAAACACCAGTGGGGTCACAGGCCACCAGACGTCACACCACATTGATGCTCTCCCTCCACTGCAGCATATGCCCACCCCGTGACCTCTGCAGTGACTCTGTATAGACATTCCCCTCCATACCGCTGCAGCTCATGTCCACATGGGCACCCCGTGAGTGCAGTACATGGCCCCAGCCTCACCACAAGTGCCCTGTGCCATACCACACTGCATCACACTGTCCCCTGGAGCAGACAGAACGTGGAAGTCAGAGGATGGAGCGGGAGCCCAACAACTCCAGATGCTGTTGCAACCAGAGTGAGGGGGGCAGTTACAGCAGGGTGCAAGCTGCCAGCTGGACAGCTCTGCTGTAGGCTGAGCTCATTACATGCACCAGGAACTCTTGTCACTCCACAGTTCTCTCCACCCCCAAGCTCCCTGAAAATCCCACTCTTCCCCACAAGCCAGATCTCTGTCTTTTGTTCCCCCACCTGCATTACAATCCCTCGCCCATCACCCAGGCGTCAGCTTGTGTGTGCCCCCACTGGGAGCTCTGCATCCCTTCAGTTCCTCACCAACAGGATCTCTGCTCCCTCCATTTCCCACTCCCTACCACCTTTCCCAGACCTGAGTTCCCACTTTCCCTTCTTCAACACTCCCCATCCCTACCCCTGGTGGTCTACCTCAGTGACCACCTGCCCACACATTCCTCTCTACCCAGGCCTCTATCTGCATCATTCTATCCCTTTCTCCTACACATAATACCCTATGGGTCCCTGCTGTGCCACTTACCCATCTACTTTCCTCTCTTCAAAATCATGGTTCTCAGTACCAGCAATGTTCCCAATCCTCTCCTGCCCTGACCCCCGCTTTCCTTCCTGCCTCCCCCCATACTACCAATACTCCATTCCCCATCCCTGTTTCCTACTCCACTACTTCCTCTTACTGTTTCAACATTCTTACTGCCTCCTCATAAACAGTATCTATAACACTCTTCCATTCCTGTTAAAGTCAAAGCTAAACACACAGGTTAAGCTACAGTCTCTGATTCTGTTGGCAGTATCAAGTGCCAGGAGTGAGATTCCCTGCCTGTAGCACAAGGCAACACAGGGGTGTAATCTTCCTCTGAATTAGGCTTTCCTGGCATTCTGGTTGGCATCCAAATTAAAATGCCTATGCTGATTAATGTCCAGAACATCCCAGAAAGTCTGGAACTGATTAGATGCACCAGGCAAGAATTATTACACTGCAAACAGACAAACTGTTGAGGTTGAAGCCTAGTCCCAAGTATGCAAAAATTCCTGAGTCAGACCTCAAGCATCACAAGCTTGTGCAGCCTGTGACGCTCTCTGGTGGCCATGCAGCTCCTGTTCTGCTTTGTCTGGGCAGGGTAGCCTTCTTTCCCTTTTTCTGCCATGCCTTATATGGAATAATTTGATTTATAAAAGGAGGCTGCCCCAGGGTCCCAGAGTGAGCCTTTTCTGTTCTTTGTCCAGTGAGTCCCTCCCAGACTCAGCTGATCTCAATCTTGCCCTTCGAGCTTTAAGAGGAGTTCTACTGGCCCAGTCCATGCACCTATGGCACTAGGGGCCTTATGAGCTAGTCACAGCCTTCTTCTGCCCCTTCAGTCTGGGGAAGGTGGTAGGGAATATTTCATTCATCTTTCAGTTATAGATGTCTCTTTAAAATTTCCATGGGTCTTCATGGCCCTGTCAGTTAATCAACAAAATCCACCAAAATCCAGCCTGCCAAGTGCCTAGTCCTGGCAAGACTCTTTTCTCTGGGCCCCTGGCCTGGCTTCTACCTGTCCTGAGCTTCTGTCCCTTTCCAGGCTTTAGCTCTCCTTGACTTAAGTCTGCTCAGCTCCAAACTCCCAGCTGTGGCCTCAACCTCCTGTTCCCCTCTGATCGCAGGCAGATAAGGGACCACACTCTGGGGAGGAGTCAGGCAGGGCCCCACCACCCTCCCAGGGGTGCGGGTGGGAGGCTGCTGCTGCTGCCTGTGACCAGCACTGGGAGCTGAGCCAGTGGAGGGAGGTGGAGCACAGCCCCACCGGGCTCAGTTCCATGGGGCTGTAAGCGGCTGGGAACCAAGTCTGGTGGACATGGGTGGAGCGAAGACACCCGGCCTCCCTCCACCAGGCTGCAAGCCACTGGGAACCAAACCTGGTGGAGGCAAGTGGAGTGTAGTCCCGGGGGCTATGCCCCGCTTCCCTCCACTGGGCTGCAAGCCACTGGGAACTAAGGCCAGTGGAGGCTAGTGGAGTGTAGCCCTGGGGGCTGTGCCCCACCTCCCTCCATCAGGCTGCGAGCGCCTGGGAATTGAGCCGAGTGGAGGTGGGAAGAGTGCAGCCCTGGGGGCTGTGCCCCACCTCCCTCCACCAGGCTGCAAGTGCCTGGGAACTGAGCCCAGTGGAAGGAGCCTGCCTCCTGGGCCACCTCCACCGAGCTCAGTTTCCAGGCACTTGCAGCCTGCTGGAGGGAGGTGGGGCTACACTCCACCCTGGGGCTACACTCCACCTGTCTCCACCTTGCAGCCCCGTGGAACTCAGCTCAGTGGTGGGAGGTGGAGTGCAGACCACCGCCTGCCATCAGGCTGAGCTCCATGGGGCTGGTGGAGCCGATCAGGGCGCAGCCCAGCAGCGGAAGGCACTCCAATAGGCTCTGCCAGCCCTACAAAGTGCAGCCCGGTGGCAGGTAGCAGGGCATCCGGGGCGGCAGGCAGCGGGGCATCCGGGGCTGCGCTCACTGCTGGGCTGAGCCACAAGGGACTGCGCGGAGCAGCTCTGAGCGCAGCTCTGGCTCTCCCCTGTCTTTCACCACCAGTTGCTGTTTCGAAACTCGAAATGTTTTGAAACTTTCGAAAGGTTTCAACTGGCCTCGTTTCATTACAAGACTGTTTTGAAGCCCTCTGTTTCTTTTTCATTTCACTATTTTGAGCTCAAAATGAGTCAAAACAGTATTGAAACGAAACATCTGCCAAATTTTGCACAGCCCCAGCATACGTTAATACTACATCAGTTTAGACAGATGGTAGTTTGGGCCTAAACCTGCTCCTACTGAGGTCAGCAACAGAACTCCTGTTCCTTTGACTATGAGCAGGTTAGATATCCTATACCCTTTTGTTGTAAGAAACAAAGAGAAAGAGATGGGTAAGCAGATTCAGGATCCTTTTCTTTAAACAAAACACTCCTTGCAATTTATGGTATTCCTTCTTTTTATGTCACTAGCTATTTACTCCATGGACACTAAATTATATTTGGTTGTGTTTGTTTCTTCAAAATATCCTTAATAGATTTTTTCATATAACAAATACTAGAGTTAATAGCAAATAGTCAGCTTTGTCTTCTAAAACTGACTTTCACCAACTTATATGCTATGAAAATAATACAGTTCATATGCTAATCAGATTTGTACGAGAACAAATAGAAACTAAAACTTATTTTACTAACTTTCCACTTAACTGAAAGAAAAGAAAGCATCTGACATGTCAGGCAATAGTAGAATGGAGTGATTAAGGACATACAAAAGCAGATATTAAACATGATTCAAAAGGTTAATATAATTGGTTTTAAAAAAGAAAATACTCACAATAAATCCAAGTTTTTTATAATCTCTGGTATACATAGATTTGCGTTTCTCAATACTGCCACTACTGTTGTTGGTCTCAGACTCTGCATCAAAAGCAATTCTTCGGAGTTCAAATATGATATCTCGCTGAGCCTGGGGGGTTGTGGAGTAAAAAACGGAAGTCAGTTAAAAAAGGGAAAGAAATGTCCCTTGTTTTTCAAACAAATGACAAAAAAAGTAGTTTTAACTGCAGAGTCCAGGATGAAAAGTGCGTGTGTGTGTGTACTCGCGTGCATGCACACTTTGTTTGTTTTAAAACAATCACAAAAGAACAACACTAAGTAACAAGGAGTGTCAATATGATGCATCTACCTTCCCCATTCTACAGACAAAGCCTGGTATTGTAGCTATCCTCTAACAGTTCTAACTGGATTGTGATTGATACTTACCTGATCCTGGGGATCCATTTTGGTCATCATTCTGTCCTCCAGAAGATTAAAGGTGAGCACTTGCAGAACATAAAGCTGGTGTGCCATTTCATTATTGATGGCCCTCTGTGCTCTGATAACGTGCTATGAAAGAAAGATAAACAAGTGAGCACTACCTACTATGTTCCTATCACCCCCTCCCATCAGCTGGGCTCAGGTATTCCCTTTCCTGTGTCTGATAAGTAATACTATAAGTATAACATAGGAAAAAAAGGTAAAACTTATGCTAGCAAAGTACACAGGTACTCCATGAACTGTGATGGTATAGTGTATCCCTCCCCTTAAATCTCTTGATAGAAGTACACAGGAATCTTCTCCTCCAATGCGTTAGATACAGTATATGCATCTGCACATGTAAAGGGCAGAAATTAGTAACAAGAGCTAGGGACAGATATTACCCATAAACTGGTTTAAGTGATCAGATACTGGTTTAAACTTGTAACAGAACAGATGTTCAGTGCACATAAACCAGTTTCAAAATGGCTGAGACTGGTTGGAAATAAACCTGGTTGAATGTAGTATCAGACTTAACTGATTTAGGTCAAACCAGTTTATGCAATGTCTGTCTGGTTTAACTTAAACTTTGCTGGTTCAAGTTAAACCAGACACCCCCAGCATGCTCTCTGGGTTTGGTAGAGCTCTCTGCTCCACAGCAGAGCTGCCCCCACCCCCCGCTCTGCTCACAGTAGGATCTGCTGGCTTCCCTGTGCCCCCCTCTTCCCCCTCCCTCACCACTGGCTACTTAAGCAGAGATCCCTTCCTCCTCTCTCCCACAGCACAGAGCATAGCCAGTATGTGGCATGCTAGCTAATGCTGTGTAAGGCAGATAGGGCAGTGTCTGCTTAGGGCTTTTTGGAAGTAATCAACAGCTCCGATGGTAATGTCCCTGCATTCCTTCCTTTGGAAAAAGCTGTTTAAGAAGTGCTTGTAATGAGTGAGGCTTTGTTCTGATGGGGTTTAAATGTTGTTAACAGAGCTGATAAATGCCCTGTTATCAGGCAGGGGGAGGGAGGGAAGGACCCCTCCCTAATCACTGTGTCCTGCTGGGGACTGGCCATGCCCCCCTCAGCTCAATTCTGTGGAAGGGAAGGGAGGGCTTCACTAGTGCCTCCCAGCTTCTAGCCTGAGTCACAGCAGGCATTTGCCTGCATTTCTGGAATGTATGTCTGGTTACAAAACTGATTTAGCCTAGCCAGGTTAGACTAACCTGCAAAGATTGAATCAATTCAGGCTCAGGCTTTTTGGATGTCTGTCCCTAGCCAAGGGCATCCTTTTAAAGAGAATCCACACCAAGAGGGTATGTGCAAAGTGCATATTAAAAACAGACAATGGGTGTCTAAGCCTAATAGTATTCCTGCTGTGGTCACAGCTTGCTGATATAACTGTAATATTACAACTACTGCTGCAAGGGAGCAGCACTGCAGTCCTACCTCTATCAGACTAGCTCATTCAACATTAGGAAAATCATTTAAAATGCAACTAAAATTACAATTAAACACCCATAAACACAAAAAGAAGTCATTATTGTTACAATGCAGGTGCTAAAAATGGTGGACAATTTTAAAAATTCACTGAGGCAGACAAGAACATCCGTGATGCTAAATAATACAATCTTCATTTTAAGGGATTGCATAGAAGTTATAAATCACAGATCCCCACCCCCCATCAGCACACTAATGTAGAAAAGAATGGGCATGCTAACCAACATGGTACTGTTCAACAGCAGTGAAAAACAGGATGCTCTTTCCTCCATACAGAAGAACATTTTTGACTGTGAATGTCTCTTCTACATAAACATCTCCCTGCAAGGAAAAGCATCTATTCCTAGATCTAGTATAATATGTACATAGCCATTTAGGGAAAAATATATAGGAGCAGTCTACTTTTCCCACAATGACCATCTGAGAGACAGAGAGAGCGAGATCTCCAAACTGCATTACTTGTTTAGCCTGCCTATTGTCAGATGCTGCACTCATACATTTTAGACTGGCCTTCCCTTTTTGTGGGCTTGTTAACACTCAGTAGCAAAACTCCCAAGATTTTTCAGGGAGAACAGGAGCAGGCATGTATTATTAAGTTTATTATTTAACTTTGAAACATGTATTGTGTTTCTTCCATTTAAGTACCATCATTACAAACAATCTATCAGGCTGCAAATAATCTAAACTGAGATACGCAAAAATTAGCTATAGAATCAGCATAGTGGCTGATTTGGTAAGACATGCAGAACTGTGCATCCTTGCACAGTCGTTGGTTCAAGCCCTGTTATTAGAAATGCATTACTAACAACAGATCATTACACATTTTTTAAACCTTTTCTGGTTTTCATGATAGAGCTCACAACCTCCATGAAAAGAAGAGCCAGAGCCTCCCTCTTCTTCCCCCTCCTCCCATCCCCAATTATTACTTCTTGGCGGAGTAAATGCCAAATGTACTCAAGCTGGGAAAATAACTTCTCTCACAGAAAAATTTTAGCTTGCTCATTAGCAGATTGACTAGGGTAGCAAGTCAAAAAACCATAATGAAATACAGAAATAGGTATGTTTATTCTTTCACCTATCAAAAAATAATTGCACTTGGGTTTTTCTTCATGTTGATGAATAAAATCTTTCAAAACTTTATGCTAATACTTACTGTTAAGATGATTGAACGAAGCTGTTTTTGTGCCAAAATGTTTGCCATCTCCTGTATTGGTAAAACAGAAAGATTTCGCTAGAAGTATATATTTCCATGCTGTAACCACAAAAAGGCTGACTCTCTTTACAGATGTGTTTTACTGTTGCATATTTTTAGTGCTTGTCATCAAGAAGACAAACTGGAGGTCTGAACTTCATGAAGTTGGCATTTTAGAAGTATCTAGATTCCAGAATTATATGGAAGGGGTCTCAGAGTATTTTTATGATTTTCCATTTGCATGTTAGATGGCTCCATGTATTTTTAAACCTATATTTTTTTCATAAATATATTATGTAATAATATGGGTGAAATCTTTTGCATTACTATTTACACATACATTGGGATAAGAAAGGAGGTCCCCATAAGAGATAACACCTCAGTGGGTTAAATCTAGAAGTCAAGAGGCTCTCTCATAAATTAGAGGTCACTGCTCTACAAAATGCATCTCATTTGTACTGATATTTTGTATTTAAGAAAACCATTATGCTCACTGGGGTCCTATACAGATAAAAGTGACTTCAGAATATAAGTTGTTTAGTTTCTATTAAAATATAGAGGAAGCTAGAAAATAGGACAATTGAGAAACAGAGAACTGCAGGAAGGATGCATCAGCAAGGTCAAAGCAGCATAAACAAGGTACTAGAAGTGTTAAAAGAAAACCTAGATGAGAAGAGAGAATATTCTAATTTACAGTGAGAATGCAATTCAAGATGCTAACAGTTTTCTCTTTATCAGGCTAATGGCATTATGACCAAGTGTAGAATTAAGAAAAGAAAAAAGTGGCGGAAGACCAAAGAATGTTTGTTTTTATTTGCAAGAGTCTGCTAACACAACAGACCATGAGTAGAGCAACCATTCAAATTATAGCAATGCTTTTAATCAATGCTTTTTAGAAAGTACAACAGAACTGCAGGGGGAGTGCTAGCCTTACAATGTGCTTCACAATGTACGGGACTGAACGAGACAAAAAACAGTTTAGTCAGAACTTTTGCCCACTGTAAGTAAAAAGGCTAGATGAGGAATGCATTGAACAATTCTTTCCCCATTCAAAGGGAAAATCATGGAATGATTGCAAAAAACATGCGATAGCAGCACACTTGCTTTCTTTAAAGTTTGTTAGTTCCCAGATTTAACCCAAGGTGGAGTATTTTTTATTAGGATCTTCTTTCTGGTCACTGCTTTTACCTTATAGGTTTGGGAAAATGTTATTGAAATAAATCATCAGGCCTCTTCAGTAAACCTGCTAAAATTTATACCAGCTGAGTGGCTGGCTCAGGTAAAAAATATCCTGAGGTCTTTCATCTGATACTTGAAGAGTGAAAAGAGTAAACAAGATTTGCTTGACAAAAGTTCTCCATCTAGTTCTATGCAGCATCACCTCCATAAATGTGGACTATGAAGAGAAAATACGACACTTTAAACAGTTTTTTAAATGTGTGCTTTGTGTTTCAGACTTTTACTGTAGCAAGAACTATTTTTCCCCCTAACACTACTTATTCTACTGTGATTAAGAAGGACTTTTCTTTTTTTCATTTTCCTTACAGAGCCAGAAAAAGAAGGGAAAAAGCAATAAAAGCACAAAAGCATCTAGCAGCAATTCAGATCTGTTCCTTGATTACAGTGCAGCTGACTACAGTCTTGGATCCTCATAAAAATGCAGTTTACAAGCGTTAGCCAAAGCTGCTGGCATCATGCAGAATTTTCATATACAACTGTGGACTGCAATCCCTTTACAGAACCTACAGTGAAATATTCAGACAATTAGTATGTGTTTCCTATGTTCTCCAGGTCATAGCACTGTATGTGATTGCCAATTAGGAAGAGCCACGCAGCACTCTTTTATAGAGCCCAGTATAAATTCTAAACCACAGGCAGGAGAATTCTTATTGAAACTCCTTCAACCACTGTACCTGTATATTTTCTATTTTTGACAATATAATTTTTCAGTTCACTGCTTCACGCATCAGCTAGTTGCAGTAGGTATTTGACCTGCAAATCTTAGTCCTCATAGCAGAACATTAAATTTGCTGAGACTGTATCACCTCATTATTTTGTTCCAGAGAAACAGAATGCAATAAAGGTGAGCTTTTTAAGCATAACTCAAAGTCAGCAGAAACTTTTGGATGTATAGCCTAATGCTTAAGAAGATACAAAAAGCAAGATGTTGTCTACTTTTAGTCGTTAAAGGTTTCATGACACTTTCTGCAAGTATTTCAGGGTGTTAAAACTTCAGCTCCATCACTTTTGATGACCTGAGACACTCCCTCCACATGAATCTGTTGCTATTTTTTTCCTTCCCGGTATGTAATAATGGAGAAAAGCAAAGTTGCACTGCAATGTCAGAAGCAGTTTAAGTGAGTAAAAGGAAACTCCTGTAGCTATGACCAACTTCACAGGGATGTTGTGAAACTCAACTGACATCTACAAGACACTATATGTGGAATGACTATGTAGAAGTACTGATTTCAGAAGCATGCAAAGTCCCGGGTAAAATATATAAAGGTGCTTTTATTCCTGGAAAATGAAAATGGCATCTTTTCAGCTTGCGTTCTACCTACATTTTAGGTTTCAAACATGGAACTGAACTGTTAAGAAACAAGGACCAATAGATTCCCCTTTTAACAACTTGAGATCAGATCCTACAACCATATCAAGTAGAACTCATTAGAAAGGAAAGTATTTTACAAACTACCAAAATTGTTTCTTGTGAACATTTTCCATATTTTTCTAGTCTAATATTTTGATTTTCTTTAAATAGATCTCCTTGGTTATCTCCTAGCTCAGCATTGCTGAGGGATAAGAGACATAAAAAACAAAAATAAACCCTAGCAACAAAAATATTCTATTTAAATTGTCATCTAAATGAATAAAATGGCTCCCTTATGCAATACATTCACATTCTTAAAATAGTTCTATTTGAGGCTTCTGATTTTTGGCATTGAGTTAACTAAGTGAAACATTACTACATTTAAGGAACTCCAATATGACAGGATATTTTCTTTTAAAACTGTGGCATGAAAAGGCTTTCATTTTTGAAAAAAAATTTCACAAAAAAACAAGGGTTTGCTGGCAAAAAACTCAGTGCACCAACTAACACAGCCAGCCTCACAGCAGCAAATGTAAATATATTGTGTGGTTTTCCTAACACTGTCAGTACATTTTGCATTGCAGCAGGAGGCAGCCAGAAAAGTATGATTTGCCTCTTGTTCATGCCAGTGCAAGGTAGAAGTAACTGCATGCAAGTGAATGAACTCTTACTAGCGTAAAGCAAGTGTGAGTGTGCTCAAAATTAGCCCCTTCCTTAGTTCCAGCCAATAACAACAAAAGGGCGTGAGACATAACAGTGATGAATGTAAGCAACCAAAAAGCCAGCATAGGCCTGTAGATGTACAACCAAAACCCAAGACTCACCTGCCTCTTGTCATCAGGTGCTTTGAGGAAAAGCGCATTTATGACTGCAATGGTATATGTTTGGATTTCTTGATCTGTCCTATATGGAACAAAATGGTAATAATAAAGGCAGATGACATGCACACAGATATTCTTCCGGAAATATTTCTCTGGGAACAACAGTATATTAAACTGTAGTGAAAAGATGTTCTTTAAATTAGCCAGATAGTGAATGACTAAAATATTTTATTTTAACTAGACAAAAAGCTCCCAAATTGTGTTGGAAGAAAAAAAAAATTACCCAATATCCAGGATCATGGAGGACAGGTTCTACCTAAACTTCCATTACTTACACAATGCACAGCCATATTTAAAACTCTTTCCTATTTTATCTGCATTCAAAAAAGGACATTGCTCAGTTTTCCAGAGAATGGTAGGTAAATGCATCTATCTATCTATGAATCAATATTTCCCACCTTAACTGGAATATCATCTCTTCATTTTGTTTCTCCCTTTTGTTCAGCCTTGTAAACAGCTACTGCAGTGTCAGTTTGGTCAAACCCGGTTATACACAATGAACAATATTACAGGATTGGTTACAAGTTGTTCAGTCATGATTAACAGATTTACTAACTCTATCGAGGGGGCTAATTTAGTTTAATATTCATTTCTACCCCTAAAATACTGAGTTTATTTGAGAATCAGTCTGTATCCAAGATACTCACCCCTGAAGATGTGGGATTAATTGGCCAATAGTAATTTCTTGTGCTACTTTTTGGTATAGATCATGGCTATTGAGCACCATGGATTCCAGGATCGCTAATGACCGTTGCAAGATAGAGATGTCTGCTGCAAATTTGTTCACGTAACTTGCTATCTGCAAATGTAAATATGCAGATAATTCATATCTTGTTATGAGGATGGGGAAAAGAGAGAAGGGGGAAACACAAGGTTCAAAAGCAAAGGAACTGTTTATGTAGCAGCAACTTCTTAAACATACATGAAGGAATACCAGGAGAGTGATCAACCAATTTGCTCTCCGAAATATGAACATTCTGTAGCAAATATTGATTCAAATCCCCAGTTTCCTCCAGCTATTTCATCAAACATTCAGACATCATATACAAAATGAATCACTATCAAACAAATTTTGTTTTTTGTGGGGAAAATTTTAGAAAGAGAGAAGAGTTTTTACTTTTTTTTACGTTGCTCACACCATAATAAATGCTAGTGGTTATTTTTCTCCAATTTCTTTTTTTCTTAATAGCACTATGACTGATCAAAGCAAGTAATGGTCAGAACATTCTAAAGCAAGAGCAAACTCCCCAGTGAAAGCTGCTTCCTTATAACATAACACACGCACATTTTCTCTCACTGCCATGATAATGATTGAAAAATTCTACATGCTACAACTTCCAAATCAAGGAATCAAGCCTGGCTCCAGACAAGGTTTGATAGTACAAAGTTGTTAAAACATTGTTAGCTCCCCACTCTTAGTAAATATTTAATCTCTGCTTAAACTAAAACAGTTGTCTTGGTTTTGTGCAGTGTGGTCATAATACCCTTTAGCAAGCCATATAAAAAGTTTGGCTATGCAGTACAGCACATCAGAGTGTACCATACCAGATACCCCTGATAGTACACTGTGTACACGGCCTTTAGGAACATTGCATTCTGCTGAGGACATGTTCAAAAAGTTCCCCAATTTCCTAGAATGCACTGACAAACATGTCTCAGCAAAACAGCCCATGTGGAAATACAAACAAGGCTTGGGTAGAAGAACAGCTGTTCTGTAGCTACGTACTAAATATTTCAGCTTTAACTGAATGAGGTGTCTGCCTTGGATTACACAACTGCAATTAAAAGCTGTTATGAAGGGCAGAATCTTAGTTTAGTGCTTGCGAAATTTTGAGAGGAAACAGATGTGGAAAACCTGCTGTTTTAAAACTTGTGTCACAGACTTAGAGACAAAAGGAAGGGAGAAAAAATACATCTAGTATATGTGGCGACTGTCCCTGCTGCTACAGACTCCTGTTCCTCTCTGCATGTGTTTTAGCACTTGCACCTGACATAGGGAGTGTCCACACATGCAAGCACATGTGCTTACAGCAGCTGAAATAGAAGTGGTGCAAATTTGAGCCAGGGCTTTTTGCCTCAGCACACATGCTCGGACATGCATTTTGTTGTGGAACAAATTGTGTCACTTGGGGCAAAATAACCCTGCCTGGCTCCTCCTGGATCTATAGCGAGGGGGAGCTAGAGCCCGGGGCCAGCACCTGTGCTGTCCCCACAGCAGTATAAAAGGCTGCCCTGTCCTGGCCCTAACAGTACAAAAACCTGCCCTGACAAGCAGCTCAGGGCTACTCACTCTCTGGAGCTTCTGGGGCTCAGCCACTTGGTACCTGGGGACACTACCCATGTGCCAGCTGGACTGCTGCAGCAGCATCCCAAATCCATTTTTAAAAATATCCCAAAATCCATGTTTTCCCATAATTAACACAAAAGACCACTCTACACACGCACACGCACAGCAATCAGTTGGGCAATGTTTTATTGGTATGTTAACAATGTTAAAGCAATGTGGGAGCCTACCAGTGTCTCTATCATCATGATAAAATAAATTCTAAAAACCTGTGTGTGTTGAGGTGTACTTTTGGTTTTCCTTGCACATAATGGGTGTGTGATGGGGGGGTGGGATATGGTGTTTGCAGGAAGGGGTTGGGAAGGGGTGTGCGGGAAGGCAGGTAGGTGGGTGGCGGGATGTGGGTTGGTGTGTGGGTAGGTGTGGGGCAATTGCTGAGGGGACTGTGGGTGTGCGGGACCTTGTGGGGGGCTGCTCAGGAGGGGTGGGTCCCCTGGCCCCCACAGGGTGAAGCCCCCACCCACAGCACATGGAATGCCCCCCCATAGGGCCCTAGCTCCCCGCAGAGGGCCACAGCCCCTATTCCCTACAGAGCCCCCGCCCCACCGCCCAAGGTCCCAGGCACTCTGGAGGACCACAGCCCCTCCCCCCTCACCCAGGGACCCAGCTCCCCCTGGAGGGCCCTAGCCTCCCCACCCAGGACCCATAACTTACCTTTAGCAGCAACAGCAGCAGGCGCTCTGAGCCATGGCAGCAAGACCCAGCATGGCACACGGGGACTGCATGCCAGGCCCAACTGGGTCCTGGGGCCTCTCTGCTGCCGGGCCGGGCCCTTGGTGGCAGGACCTGCCACCCTTGGGGCCCCTCTGCTGCCCAGCTGGGTTTGGCCCTTGGTGGCAGGACCCGGTGCAGTGCGCAGAGACTGCATGCCAAGTCCAGCTGGGCCCTGCCAGCCCTGGGGTCCCTGTGCTGCCTGGCTGGGCTGGTCCTTGGTGGCAAGACCGGGTACGGCATGTAGGGACCACGTGCCAGGCCCATCCAGGCCCTGCCACCCTCGGGGCCCCTGTGCCACCTAGCCAGGCCAGGCCCAGGGCAGCAGGACCTAGTGCAAGGACCACGTGCCGGGCCCAGCCGGGCACTGCCACCCTCGGGGCCACTGCACTGCTCAGATAGGCCAGGCCCAGGCCAGCAGGACCCAGCACAGCATGTGCTGGCTGGGCGCCAGGAGCAGCCCCAGGGCCAGGAGGACCCAGCAGGCATGGTGCGCAGTCCCTGCACACCATGCCAGGTCCTGCTGCCCTGGGCCCGGACCAGCCAGGTGGCACAGGGGCCCCGAGGGTGACAGGGCCTGGCTGGGAATGGCATGTGGGGACTGTGTGCCGTGCCGGGTCCTGCCGCCCTTGGCCCAGCCCGGCCAGGTGGCACAGGGGCCCTGAGGGTGGCAGGACCCAGCTGGGCAAGGATCGGGGAGCGTCTGGGGGGCTGGTGTGGGGAGGGGCCAGGCAGGGATTGAAGGGTTGGGGGCCTGGTGGGGGGAGGGGCTGAGCAG